CAGGGGACGGCCCAGGACACGCTGGAGGGACTATGTCTCTCGGCTGGCCTGGGAACGCCTTGGGCTCCCCCCGGAGGAGCTGGAGGAGGTGTCTGGGGAGAGGGACGTCTGGGTGTCTCTGCTGAGCGGAAGACGACGAGTACGAGATTAAGCTGATTAATTGCTTCAGCCCAAACCGGAACCTTTAGAAAATGATGGTGATTCTTCATAAAATCAACCCAGAGCATCCTCTTCATTGGAGCATCATACAACAGTGTCTTCAGTCGGAGGCTTCTTCAGATCGCTACAGGAGATCCTTCCTGCCCACGGCCATCAGCACCAACTACTCTTTGAAAAAACTTAAATAATATGAGTTACAACAATATTTACTTTCCCTTTAGGATTAATAAAGCATTTTGAATAGAGGAACAGAAAATGAAAACCTTAGAGGAAGTGTTGCTACAGCATTATATCAGCTTGGTCCAGAAACTATGGTAAGGAGGACTGTAAGCTAATTAGCTATCTAACTGCCCAATAATTATGTTCTAAATGCTTCAATTCCAATACTACTGCAGAACATGTCTGATATTGATGAAATGTGTTGTTAATTTTAAGTTCGTACCTGAAGAGCTTTAATTTTACAAGCAATATTTACCTTTGTTTAACCATGTGTACTTTTTAAAATTATAAAAAAAATACTTGCATATAACCAACAGATGTTAGAGCTTTACAAAAAAAATCCTAATAAAAAGGAACTATTTTTTCTGTTAAACAGTTGAAATTATATCCATTAAGCATATGACTGATGAATCATGCCATTTCTTGCACGACCAGCTTGAACTGAGCTACCAGGTGATTTTAAATGGTGCTGTATTTGACACCATATGTATAAGCTCTCTGTAAACTGAAACCTTTAGGACAGACTTCAGCTACTTTAAACAGAAGAGCTAGAGGATTAACCCTTGAAGACAACAACTTGGAGACTGCAGAGTGTGGGTGTGCATGCGGGCATGGATCCAGCTGTTATCCACACATTTCTGTACTTGCTCTGCTCTGCTCTTAAAAAAAAAAAAAAAAAGGACGCCTCCCTCTTTGCTTAAACTGAAAGCTAAAACACAAACCATCAAAACTGATGGTTAGAAAAAAACTGTAGATACTGCATCCAGGTTCTATTACACCTAATAAACCTGCTGCGGGCAGGGAGTAAGACCAGGTGAAAAAAACGTAGAGAATAGCTGAGGAAAGAAGCTGCAGTCTACTGCATTCTGTCATATATAACTTTTCTCTCAGACTAAAGTTAAGTATGGGTGAAATAACAGCACAGTCAGTTTCCAATTTACACAAGTTAGTTGACAAAATCTTCACTAATTTATACCAAACTCGCAGTGCGTTAAACGTATTAAAAATGTAGTCCTTTTTAAGGTTTTTGTGGCACTATTGGCCTTTATTTATTAGTAGCAGGACAAGAAGGAGGGCAGAGAGAAGGGGAAGACATGCAGCTAATTGCCCAGCGCTGGGAATCGAACCAGAGACAACTGTATTGAGGACTGTAGCCTCTACATATGTTGCACCTGCTCCACCACTGAGCCTTGGAGCGTCCCAAATACTTAATCTTAATCGACACCTTTCAGTGTATTTGTGTCTTATCAAATGTTCACTATGAGAGTGCAAGAGGTAAAAGTCGGGGATTGTATCTTTTTGCAACGCTTACTAAAATTAGGAAGCAAAACAGATCTTCTGGGTCTACTATGATTCTGATTGGCTAATTAATAACCATTACAGCCTACACAGACAGTTCACAGGGAGCGAAGTTCAGTCCGTTCACAATGCAGACCTCCCTAATAATTTCTACTCAAACATAATTCTGACAGTTGAATGTATTTTGATCGATGAGCCGCATCTGAATGGAAGCTAATGTTTTAAATATAACAACCAGTGAGACAGGCTCCTGAACCTGAACAGAAGGAGAACACACCTGCTGATGACTCACAGGTTATTACTGTCAACATTTGCTTTCCCAAGAAATGCTTTGCTTTATGTCAGGACTGCTGGCAGCTGTTGTTTCTGCCCTACTTTTTATGGGTAGCATTTGTTAACTGAGGCTGATAATAAAGAAAAGTATGCAACATAAAGCGGAGTATTTCTACAATAAAGCTTTTACAGTGCATTATAAACTTGAACACTTCCAGCTCAAAGGTTAGATTGGATTCTTGGTACTTATTTAACTAATTTCCACCATATAAATGAGATAATGGACCATACTAATGAGCCTCAATTGAGATACAGAGATGCTAATAAATAAATTAAAATAAATAAAGCTGTTTCTAAACGACCTGTTCTGAATAAATGAAGCATAGATTCAACACAATCCACATCCTTCCTCTACAGCAAAAGATGAAGCAACGAAGACTCAAAGAGGCAGATAGCATCTAACAACACCTCCGATATTTCCTCCCTGTCACAGAGCTGCTGCCCCCCTCAGCTTACTTCTACAGCAGTCAGTCTAACAAGGTGGGGGATGGACCTAAAGACAGAGTCTGTCAGTTTATGGAGATGTGTAGATCCGGAAAAATAAAAATGTAAGCAGAGCTATTTTGTTACTCAGGCACGCAGGTGATATAACAAGTTATACCAAACTAGTACAACGACATTTACAGGATTTAAAAAGGAAATCTCCAAATCTTTAGTGTATTCAGCAGGTGTTTACCTTTTAAACAAACCACACCAAGTTTAAATAGTGTTCAGAAAGGCTAAGATTAATGTTTCATGTCATGTTTGTATACGTACAAAACATTTTTTGGTGCTTATTTTAAAAATGTGTTGCACTCACATCCTCGGCATCCTTTACTCGCAGGATTTGTTCCCGTAGGTCCTGTAGGTCGTTAAATGTTGACTGTGCTGTAATGGAGAACACCAAAGCAAAGCCTTGCCCGTTCTTCATGTACAGATCCCTCATAGCAGTGAACTGTTCCTGCAGAACAACAGCAGAGGAGAGACGGCATCAGTGACCTGGAAAAACACTTTCATCCAAACGCAGCGTTAGGCCAGACTTACTGTTCCAGCAGTGTCCAGGATTTCCAGCATACATTGCAGCCCATCCACCTCAACTTGCTGTAGTATTAGAAAAGCAGGAGCATTTTTAGGAGATCAAAGGAGCTATTTCTACAGATAATTACAGACTTCTTTGAAGATGATCAGGAGACTTTATGTAGTGATTTTTTTACATTATACCTTTCTGTAAGAGTCTTCTATAGTGGGGTCATACTTCTCCACAAAAATTCCTTGCACGAATTGGACTGTCTGGAATCAGGCAAGAAAAAGGAAAAATGTAAACTGCAGTAACAGCACTGAGCTAAATTAATTAGTATTTTAACAAAACGATACTCTCAGCTTTTACTAAAATTTTACATCAGTGTTGATTCAACTCTGTCACTTTTTACGATTTGAATTGTGAATTAACATAAAATTAAATTACTGCTGGATATTTGAAATGATGTCCTTAGTGAGTAAAGACTAAAAATCATGATTTTTCCAGGAATACTTACCAGCGCAGATTTTCCCACACCTCCTGATCCAAGCACAACTAGCTTGTACTCACGCATGGTGGGCGACTTCACTGGACAGCACAAGAGTCTGTGAAAAGATAGAGTTAAAGAGAGATTCAGAGACAAACAGTTCTGCTGTTCTGGTTTATTTATGCAAAAACAATTTCTCTAAACTGGAAATGTAAAAACTTCAAAATATATACATTTTTAAATAATTTATAAAACTATTTACTATTAACTGTTGCTCATAGATCCCTCCACATTTGTTTTCAGGTGGCTGCACAGATTTTTCATGTTGCCAAGTGATGCAGACACCACAAAGTAGCAAACTCAAATGTAAAATCATTTGCATGCTGTTTAAATGATATATTTATATTCTGACTCATTTTTCTTTCACTTCCTCCTCCAGTTTCTTACACCAGCAGCTGAAATCTAAACAAGTTCGTTTATAAGTTTAGCTTCTCTTGCTAGCAGAGGTTAGCTCTGTTAAAGTGATGATTATTTGTGAATATCAAACAATTAGGATCTAAACTGTAGTCTGGTTGATATGGAGCATAAAGTTTAGAGGCTCAGACATAAATTCATGCTGATAATAATGTTTATGTCATAGAAAGATCCTTCAGGAGGAGCAAGACCTCAGAGTATCATTTAGACTGGGGGATGCTGTAATCAACAGTGCACTCCAGGACATAATTCAACTAGCCTTGTCTCAGCCACTTTTTACTTGCTGATTATATAAATAAAAGGACACTGTTGTAAATCACTGCAAAATGTTCTAGTATTATATATTTTTGGCAGTTATGAAGAGTTATGCACAGTACCTACAATCTCACCCTAAAGTTCAAGCCCTTGTTAAGTGTTCCAGTTTCACAAATAGCGTCATCTCATTACAACACAGAAGAAAAAGGTCACAGTGAATAACCCATCAACTGCTTCATCAGCCTGACACACATCAGACAGCCTATATGGCCTAGAAATAATATGGCACAAAGAGAAGCTGTCACTGGCATTTTCCGATGAAGACAGGAATGTTATTTGGAAATGAATAGTAATTATCCAAAGATTTAGGACACTCCAAGTACATTAAAATGTTAAATCTTCTGCATAATCTTGAAAATTAACTGTACAAGTGTGATTAGTATTTATAATAAAAACTGAATGATAAAACCATGAAATTGGCAGATTCCAGAAGCCTGATTCTTTTAGACAAATTTCACAGTTAAGCATCAACTGGGTACTGGCACAAATAAAGCGGCAGTGGGCTATGTTCCACCTTGATGGTATGCACTGAAAAATTCTGCTGCAGGTTTAAAAATGTGGTGGTTTTTTAGCAAGTTGACCCAGCAGGTGGCCAGTAAAATGTTCTGAATTTATATTTTCAGCTTTTTCTGTTTGACACCTACATAAGACGTGCACATGATGCCACAATACAGCAGAGAGATTACTGAACAAAATGTTTTTGTAAAAAAACTGGGAGATAATTTTGGTTTAACTGCACGGACTTTAGCAGAAACAACGGATATATGTATAAAGATCTGCCTTACTTCTCTTAAGTAGTTATGACAGTTCTTTCACAAATGTAATTTAATTTTATCATTTAGTTAACTGACAATAAGCATATACACAATACCAAGATGCAGGAGAATTGATCTTGAGACCTAATTTTGAATTTAAAATAAACCTTAAATGTACATTTCTACATCAAATAGGTTTTATATTTAAAATGTCAAAGTGGGGGTGAGATGTACAGTAAAATCTCATTTAAAAACCTCTGAATGCACTAATTATGCTTTGTCTGTGCAACCTTTGTCAAATGCTGTGACAAACAATACAAAACCCACTCTGTCACAATCAGCCAGCATTAGCAATTCTAAATACGATGTATGAAGCACCACAGTGAGAGACAGGCACACAGGGCACTTCACAAAGAGCTATTGTGATGACCCTCATCTACTCAACTACACCACGACAGAAAACGGAGATCAGAGAGCGTACGCATGACAAACACAACTGAAATTGTCACAAAAATGAGGAAGAGGTGCACCAAAAGATAATGAGAGTACATGGCTGATAAAGTTGCAAGTGCTCTTGCTCTTAAAATATTAATTTATGTGGGTGTCACAAACTTGCTTTTAAGTCTTCACATCAGTTAAGTAGCTGAAATCTTCCCCTGATTAGAAAAGAGCCAGGACTAGGTAGGCGTATCAATGCCTGGCTGGCGGTTTTCACCAAGCCTGCTCTTAGTTTTCATAATAAAGGGTCTCTATGTTCATGCCAACAGTTAATGAATAATTTAATTCCAGAGTTTGATAAAGATAATCAATTTACAAATGAACAAAGGCTTTTACTAAACTGCATTACCCACCACCAATCTGATTTATTCTAATAAGGCTGTTTCATGTACCTTGTACACAGTTGTAATGACAGAAACTCCCTCTACATCTGGGGAGGGGGGGGGGCCTGTTAGATCCTCAGGCTCACTGATGTCCACCAGTCTCCAAGGCGATGAGATGTAGCAAAGAGCCAAAGAGCAAGGCTGAACAAATTTGTTCAAATGGCTCCTAAACAGAAACAAAAACGGGCAGAGAACATTCTGCCTGTTAACAGAAAGGCATTCAAATTGCATTTTCTTCCAATTTAAACATTATAGTTAAAAACTGAAATGAAGATACAAATTTCCAATTTTAGATGGAATCTGGATGTACCACGGAATAATTAAACTTGTCCTCTTATGTTAAAATCCATTAATGTTTGGTATGTAGGTAACTGGAAACATTCATTAACAGACTATTGGGCTGCTTTTAAAAATTCTAGTTTTCTTTGGACCATTACTAAAAGCCCTGGCAAATAGGAATAATAAAAAATAACAAATATTCTGGGTCTGTTTATACTGTCATGAGAAATTCTCAACAAAGCAACCTGCAACAAATAAAAAGCTGTTTTTAAGGGGATGGCACAGCTGGTATTGTAACAAATCAAGGGATTGGAGCAAAAACGGAGCTGCAGACCGTTGTTACACAACTACAATAAGGTTGTTTATCAGT